TTGTTCTGAAGCTTCTCCAGAATTCGGAACAATACTAGCTTCTGAACCTTGTCCAGAACTACTTCCTTCAGAATTACCACCTTCAGAGTTACTTCTGGAAACTTGTTCTCCAGACCCCATGTCTTCAGAGTTTTCCCTTCCAGAAGTATAATCACCACCAGAATCTGGATCATCATCAGAATCTGGATCAGAATCAGATCCACTATCAGAATCTCCCTGAGATTCTGACTCATCTTCAGAGTCTTCTTCTTCTGACTCTGACTCGTCTTCAGAAACTAACCCTGGTGTTGGCACTACACCAGAATCTGATTGAAGCTTGTTCCAATCCCATGTTTCTGACTCTTTCACAACGACGTCTCTGCTGATTTCAACTTTGTTGGTTTCTGGACAGTAAAGCTTGTAGGCACCTGTACTGTGGTACCCCACCAGTAACATTATTTTGCTTCTATCATCCAGTTTTCGTCTTCTAGCCTCTGGAATGTGTTTGTAGAACACAGAACCAAATACCTTCATATGGCTAACACTTTGCTTGTCTCCAGTCCATTTTTCTAAAGGAACAGTTTCCTTTAGCTTCTTCGTTGGACACCTATTCAGAACATATGCTGATGTGGCAACAGCTTATCCCCATAACATGTGAGGTAACTTCTTTTCTTTCAGCATACTTCTGGTCATATCAAGCAAAGTTCTATTTCTTCTTTCAGCGAGACCGTTGTGCTGAGGAGTATATGGAGCAGTGACCTCATGTTCTATTCCATTCTCCTCACAGAACTTCTGGAACTCTGTAGAGTTATACTCACCTCCACCATCTGTTCTCAGAATCTTCAGCTTCTGACCACTCTACTTCTCAGCCTTCACCTTGAACTTCTGGAACTCTGTAAACACTTCATGCTTGAACTTGATGAGTGTTACCCAAGTAATTCTTGTGAACTCATCCACAAAAGACACGAAATATTTGTTTCCTCCAAGTGAAGCTACTGGAAATGGTCCACATACATCAGAGTGTACTACTCCCAGAGCATGTTTTGCTCTGGGGGCTACTTCTGATGCAAATGGCAATCTGGGTTGCTTGCCTTTCATGCATATCTCACATGACTTCTGAGGCTTCACAATCTTCGAAATGCCATGTACGAGCTTCTTAGAACTTAGATGCCCTAAACTTCTATAGTTCAAGTGCCCCAACCTCTTGTGCCACAGCTTACTGTCAATTTCAGCGCCTTCTGCACTAAGACACTCCGCTTCAGAAGTTTCTACATTCACCTTGAATGTTCTGTTGCTTCCCTGCTCAGACTTTATGATTAACTTCTGATTAGAATCATACAACGTCAAGAGGTTGTCCTTCATAACTACTGAAAAACCTTTCTCAATGAGCTGACCCACACTCATCAGATTGCTTTTAATTCCAGGAACATACCAGACGTCTTTGATCAGAATGTTTCTTCCATTCTTCACTCTGACTCCATTTCCCATACCTTCTGCATTAAGGTACTTATCATCAGCACATCTGATCTTTGTTCTCCTTCTGGAGTCAAAGTCTATCAGCCATTGTTTGTTCCCAGTCAAGTGGTTTGAACAGCCAGTGTCCATATACCACCAATCTCCTGAACAGTTTCCATCAGAATCAGAAGCCATCAATAGCACAGGTTCATCATCAGAATCTTCTCTGGCTATATTTGCTTCTTCTGATTTCCTTCCTCTGTTTCTACAGTCTCTGGAAAAATGCCCAAACTGTTTACAGCAGTAACATTGAACCTTCTTCTTGTCATACCTTTCCTTTCCCTTCTGATATTTCTTTTCATCAGAGGTTGAGGTTTCTGACTTCTGGAATTTATCACCATGTCTATTCTGCTTCTGGTCCTTCTTGACAAAAGAAGCTTTCAGAGCTTGCTCCACTTCCCTCTCAGAAGTTCTTTCAGACAGACGCAATTCTTGTGCTTCTAGACTGCTTTGCAACTCTTATATTCTCATGGTTTCCAGATTTTTAGAATGTTCAATAGAAACAACAATGTAATCAAACTGAGGCGTAAGTGACCTCATAATCTTTTCTATGATTACCTGTTCAGAAAGTGTTTCTCCACAAGCCTTCATTTCATTAGTGATCAGAATCAATCTGGAAATGTATTCAGAAACTTTCTCACTGTTCTTCATGCTGAGATTTTCATATTGTTTTCGCAGGGACTGAAGTTTTACCTTCTTTACTGATACATCACCACCATAACATCTGGTCAGTATATCCCATGCCCCTTTCGACGTCGTCGAATCAACAATCTTCTCAAACACATTTTCATCCACACACTGATGGATGAAGAACAGTGCTTTCTGATCCCTCTTCCTTGTAGCTCTTTCTTCTGATTTCTGTTCTTCAGTAGCATCTGCTGCAGCTGGAACATAACCTTCAGAGACAAGGTCCAGAACATCCTGAGCACCAAACAGCACACGCATTTGTATCTTCCATCTGTTCCAGTTTTTACCATCAAAAACTGGAAGTTTAGTGTTCAAACTACTGCCTCCATTCATCTTAAACCTTTGCACAGAAAAACTCAGATCTCAGATTTCTCACTCAGTGTTTCCCAAACCCACAGAATCAGTGTGATTCTGTTTCAGATTTTTGTTCAAGATTCAAAAATCAAACACACAGCTCACTATCACTCGTGTTTTCCAGAATTTCAGAACAACCAAGAAGCTCTAGATACCAATTTGTTAGTGCAAGGTGATGAATTTGAGGAAGAAGAAGGAAGGAATAAATGCCTAAAAGCTGACAGCAAATGATTGAAGAATTGATTGATTTAAATGTAAACCTAGTACACCTATTTATACACAAATAAGAATGTCACATAGGCCCTAATCAAAACTTATCTACAAATAACAAAATACTAAATTACCCTCTAATATTCGTTAATTAGAAAGAGTGAGGAAGTGGAAAATTTTCTTAAACTTTGTTCTTCCACTAGAATAAAAACATGTTAAAAGTGCAGCAAGATGTTGAAAGTATATGGTTGTAAAGAACAACAACATCTAAACTTAAGTGAGATTGACTATATGAATCAACTTTCATTATAATGTTTTATCAAAGACTATTTTTATTATTAATTTCAACATCTTTTCTTTAACAATTTTTGTTATAGTCTTTTTAAGTCTTTTTCTTTCTTGAATTATTTGTCTTCTCTCCATTTAATATGTTCTCTCTATATAATTAATTCATCTAAATCTATTTTCTATCATCTTTTCTATGATAGACCATACACCAACACTCTCTCTAATAATTTTATTTCTAATTTTATCATATTAAATTTTACCACACATCCCCCAAATATCTCCATATCTACTACACTTACTAAAAAAATTACCAAAATGTATATAAATAAATAAATAAAATTGATCATAGCACATTAATAGAAAAGATAGAAATAAATAAGAATTGTGTTTATTTAATTGGAGTAGCTGTGATTTACAATATCTTCAAATTGTATCACCACCTTTGCTTAAAAAAATAGAGTCGTGTGAATTGGTCTCAAAGCCTAAAATAGTAAAAGAAAAAGAAGGAAATAGAAGGAAAAACAAGGCAGTAAATGAAGACAAAATTACTCATATTTTCTGCAAATGAAGTCACGAGATTTGATTTTACTTAAATGTGCATTAGTCAGTAAAATCACGAGATGGTGAAAATTGAAAACTTACATTTCCATGAAACATCGATAAACACACAACAAAAAGGTTTTTTCAATAGTACTGTTTTATCCCAACAAGTGAAGTCATTGTATTAGGTTGTCTTTAGATGAATCACAATTTTGACTTGTTGAAAGTGAAACATATTTTTTTAGATTAACTGTGTGAAAATAGGAACCTAGGTTGTGGAATTTGTTACCATGTCCATGTGTGTGATGGTGTGATAAAAAAAAACATGCAAAACTAAACTAGCTAGTAAGAAAAGCCAAAGATTCTCTCACCCGTGAACGTCCAAAACTTCCACTTCCTCAATAAAAAATTAGTTAATGAAACAACTTTTTCTATTTTGTAATTTTTTTTCAACTTTCTTTTTAAATATTTATTTATTTTGTGTCTATTCTTAATGTATGGTACATAATCTATTTTAAGTGATTTAATTATTTTGGCATCTACTCTAAGTCCACAAAGAGACCAAACCAGCCACCACCTACTGAGCCAACTACGTGTTACACTAACTCACTCACCTCACCACTACTAACCAAATAAAATACCCATTAGTTCAAATTTAATTTTTTTTTCTCTATATAAACTATACTATGTATTAAGATCATTTTTGAAAGCTAACGTACAAGATTGACTAATCATATAGTTAAATAGGATCTCAAAAAAATATTGTGAAACTTAAATTATTGTTTAAAAGGGCCTATAAAATATAAGACGACTCTGTTTTGTGCATAAAATTGCAGAGAATAATAATCTCAATAAGTTGTAGATGTCTCTATTAAGAGAATTCAAGACAGTTGTGTGTATAAAGTTGAATTTAAACTCTGAATCTCTAGATAGTGTTCAAGTACTCATGAGTAGTATTTAAGTTTAGTTCTTAATCATCTGAATCGTTTTAAGTTGTTAAAGATTTTAAATATATTAATTAGATTGTAAACACAAATAAAATAGAGACTTTATTTAAGCGCAACTTAATAGTAACAATATGTTATAAAATTGTTTAATCATATTTTTTACAATGATAAATTTTAAGTCATATATAATAATGTGCTATAGACGCCTCAAATATGGTCATGTTAGTCATTATAACTCAAGATATACACACATATTTATTTCAATAAACCAAAACTTGATATATTCCATTATTAATATCTTGCAATAAACAAACCTACGTGGAAAACCAATCAACAAAAGTATATTTCTCTTCCTCACCCCATACCCTTTAAAAGACGAGACTCGAAAAACTTTCCTCTATATAAACACACAAACACAAACTCACCATACTCATTCATTTATTTCCACTCACATTCTTCTTCTTCTTCTTCATCTTCAATATGATCCATCATCACAAAAGCTTGATAACTATACTATTATTAATTTTCACAGTATCATCATTAGTTCAAGGACGAGTACCCTTTGCATGTGATCCAAGAAACGGTTTCACAAGAGGGTACAGATTCTGCAACACAAACATACCAATTCACGTTAGAGTACAAGACCTTATTGGAAGACTTACATTACCTGAAAAGATAAGACTTGTTGTAAACAATGCAATTGCAGTTCCAAGACTTGGTATACAAGGCTACGAGTGGTGGTCGGAAGCTTTACACGGCGTTTCTAACGTCGGTCCGGGGACTAAATTCGGTGGCGCTTTTCCGGGAGCCACTAGTTTTCCTCAAGTTATCACCACCGCTGCTTCTTTTAATCAATCTTTGTGGCTCGAAATTGGTCGGGTAAGAGAATTATCCATTTATTGTTATTATTTTATTTCTTTTTTATTACTACTATTGGTTTGGTTTGGCTTATACGTAATAAAGTCATGATAATAATAATATTTTAACATATGGTGTTCTATTTTTTATTTTTGGTATATTATTGGTCTTGTTTTTAATTATTATATAAAGATACTATAAAGCTAAGCGAATGGGTAAATAACTATTATATTTTATTATTAGAATTAGGGTAATATTAACATGCGTTTTAAAGGTACATGTTAAAAATTAAATAAAGAAATTTTTATTTTAAAAATTGTGTATTAAATTTATTATACTTTATATAATTATAGTTTTTATTTTTTTCAAGATTAATTTTTTAAATATAGATATTTTAACATGTGGGCACATGTTAGTATTACTTTAAAACAATTATTTTTTGCAAAAGCAAAGACTGTTTTATTATTATATATGAAAAAAAACTAAGCATATGAGTAGATATATAGCTACTATTTACGGTTATTAAATATTAAAGTACTATATATTTGTTAGTATTCCCTCTGATTATTTAATATAAAAAAAGCTTATTTTTTAAATTCATTTAAGAATCAATACATGTGAATTATATATATAGTTCAAATACATTACTTCTTTAATAAATTTAAAAAATAAATTTTTTCTTATATAAAAAATTAGAGATAGTACTATAGTTTCTGTTTCATTCATATTCTTATTGTGTTAGTATGATTTATCACACGTTGAATTTTTTATTTTATAAAAGTTCAAAAGTAAAAAGTGGCCAACATGACATTCCACTATGTTTGGTATTCTACAAATTTATCTAATTTTTTCAGCACTCTAAAAATATTAGTGAAATAGAAATGATAAAAACAATACAAATTTTTTAAATATTTATTTCATTAAAAACTTTTTCAAAAAACTATAAAATAAAACAGTATTTTATTAATTATTTAAGATAATTAATCACCTTCATAGTTTGTTTGGATGATATGATTCTATTATCATAAAAACATCATGTCCCATGTCCTCAATAAAATTAAAAAGTCATTTAAAAATGGGGGGACCTATTTCAACTACCTAATACATCAACAATAACAAACTTCTATAAATTTCAAACTACCAATAATTTCTTGTTATAATAGTCCAATTATATTCATTCATTATGATTTTTATTTATTGTTTTTAAATAATAAACTATATGAAAATAGAAGACAAATAAATACTAAATTGCGTCGCTACTATAATATATGATATTTTTAACATTATAATAGTATTGCAATTTATTATTTGCTTAGTATAATATTTAATATAGGATCATGATATTTTTGCCTATTATATCAGGTAAACAACAAATTGCAATGCTATTATGTTAAACATATGATCTATGTTAAGTCAGATCGTCTTTTAGGACATAAAAGATAACAAATATGATTAAAAAAGACCTCATAAAATATGTTACATTATAATTATGACATAATAGAGTTTCTAGTAATTATCTGTGATATTTGGCAGTTACTTGTTTTAGCCTGAAAACTGACAAGCTGTCCCATGTGGCTTACATACATTTAGTATGAAAAATATGACACTTGAGTCACTTTATATGGTTTATAAAATTTAGAAGGTACGTGACGTTGAATATTTATCAACTTATATATAATTTCTTATCTACATGTCACTAATATAAGGTCCATTATTTTCCTCAACAACAAAAAGAAGGTCCATTACGCTATCATTCCATTCATTCATTAATCACATCATTCATGAGAACGTCATTTTTGTTGTTTTTTCTTACCTTCGTAAATTGGTGTTTTGAGGTTGAAATAGTAAATACTTAATTATACATATGGAGGAAATTAATAAATATATATACTTAATAGATGTATCCTTTATTAAATTTCACTAATCGTATATAATTAAGCAACATATTCCCATACAAAAATTAATTACGTTTAGTAAAGTATAAACATCAATCTCTTTATATAGATGTTTGGTGTGTTTAAATGAAGTATATATAAAAGACCGTCAACTTTGCATATTTTCTAAATTATTGTTTAGCTATAATTGACAAAACTTTAGGTGTTTAATGATGCTTATCCTTACCCCTACTTTCAACAAGTCATTCCCATTACGGCTTTTTTTTTCTTTCTTTATCTGTTTTCCTTTTTTTCTATTTTTTTTCTATTCATATTTACATTAAGTTGCTTTTGTTGCAAAAGGACCAATAATAACTTAATCACTTTTTGTCACATATACGATATTATTAATTTATTGGTAAAATATTCTCTTGATTTAATTGTTGAATGAATTTTAATTATATGTACTCACATGCAGGTTGTGTCTGATGAAGCACGAGCAATGTACAATGGTGGTGCAGCAGGGTTAACTTATTGGAGTCCTAATGTAAATATTTTCCGTGATCCACGGTGGGGCCGTGGCCAAGAGACACCCGGCGAAGACCCTATATTGGCCGCAAAATATGCGGCCAGCTATGTTCAAGGACTACAAGGCAACGGCGCAGGTAACCGGCTTAAGGTTGCAGCTTGCTGTAAACATTACACTGCCTATGACCTTGATAATTGGAACGGTGTAGACAGGTTTCATTTCAATGCCAAGGTATGTATGACCTAATATATGGGACCACTTAATTATTTTTGAAATGATTATATATTTAAAATTTCACCATCCAAAATTAAATGAGTTATGAGTCCAAAATGGTAGTTATGTTGTTACACTGTTCAGTGCTTTTATCTGATAAATTTTCATGTGAATCGCATAGATGTACTGTCACATTATACCAAAGCATGGAGCAGTTATTTGCTTTTGTCATTCTATTTGTTTTGGTTAAAGTAAGTAGTTTCCTTAAATACAATAGGAAAAAATAATATGATTTGCATTTAAGTGGAAGTTATGCAAGTTGTTGGATAAGGACTTTAGGCCACTTGCTTTTGATGATGATAAATGATAGTGATGTTATTCAATTTCAAACTACCAAATTATACCACTTGTGCACCATAAACCAATTCATTCATTATAATTGTCCATGTGTTTGGTTTGACTGTAATTGAAAAGAAATAAGTTGTTGATTATGGTGTTCTTTCTCGATATAACTTTAATTGAAAAATAAATTGTAATACAATTTACTCAAGAAAAAAAGATATATCATTTTTCAGGTAAAATGGTTGATGTTACGGTTTTTCTATAGGTAACACTCAACTTAAGGTTTAGAATACTCATGCAATATGCATTAATCATTCGCATCAATTATTTTTTTCACTTCCTCCAATAATATTGATAAAGAAAAGACTAGTTGATCTGCCAAATTAAAAATAAAATGTCACAAATTTATACAAGGATTATTAATTTATAGATGTATATACAGGTGAGTAAACAGGATTTAGCAGACACATATGATGTACCATTCAAGGCATGTGTGTCCGAAGGAAATGTAGCGAGTGTAATGTGTTCCTACAATCAGGTCAATGGCAAACCCACATGTGCTGATCCCGAACTCCTTCGCAACACCATCCGTGGCGAATGGCGCCTCAATGGGTACATAGTATCGGATTGTGACTCAGTTGGAGTTTTCTACGACACCCAACACTACACGAGAACACCTGAAGAGGCTGCAGCCGATGCGATTAAAGCGGGGTTGGATTTAGATTGTGGCCCATTTTTAGCCCTACATACTGATGGTGCTATTAGGCAAGGACTTATGTCTGAAAATGACCTTAACAATGCTTTAGCTAACCTTATTACAGTTCAAATGAGATTGGGTATGTTTGATGGAGAGCCTTCAGCCCAACCATATGGGAATTTAGGCCCAAGAGATGTTTGTTTACCGGCCCATAACGAAGTAGCAGTTGAAGCAGCTAGACAGGGCATTGTTCTTCTGCAAAACAAAGGAAATGCATTGCCATTATCCCCTACACGCTTCCGCAACATAGGAGTCATTGGTCCCAATTCTGATGTAACTGTTACAATGATTGGAAACTATGCTGGTTAGTTAGTTACTTCTAATCAAGTTCTTAAAACATTGTTATATTCAAATGTATCATATTTTTATTTCAATGAATTTTTTCTTTGATAGGTGTGGCGTGTGGTTATACAACACCGTTGCAAGGTATTGCCAGATATGCGAGGACCATTCATCAAGTAGGATGTAGGGATGTGAGTTGTGGTGGGAACCAGCTATTTGGGGAGGCAGAGATAGTAGCAAGACAAGCTGATGCAACAGTATTAGTAATGGGCTTAGACCAGTCCATAGAAGCTGAATTTAGAGACAGGGTTGGGCTTCTTTTACCAGGCCATCAACAAGAGCTAGTGTCTAGAGTAGCTAGGGCTGCGAGAGGCCCGGTTATATTGGTCCTCATGTCTGGTGGCCCTATTGATGTTACTTTTGCTAAAAATGATCCCAAAATTAGTGCTATTCTGTGGGTTGGTTATCCTGGTCAATCTGGAGGAACTGCTATTGCTGATGTTATCTTTGGCAGAACCAACCCAGGTAAGAAAATTTGATTAAAGAAAGAAAGAAAAACATGGACATAATACCCAAATTTTGATCAAATACTTGTTACATTTAATTTGACTTTTTGTTTGTTGGGCTTTTATTGCAGGAGGGAGGTTACCAAATACATGGTACCCACAAGGTTATTTGAGCAAAGTGCCAATGACAAACATGGACATGCGGCCAAACCCAGCAATAGGGTACCCGGGAAGAACCTATAGATTCTACAATGGCCCAGTAGTATTCCCATTTGGGCATGGGCTAAGTTATTCAAGATACACTCACACCTTAGCACTTGCTCCTAAACAAGTCTCAGTCCCTTATGTATCCCTCCAGGCCCAAGCCTTCACAAACTCAAGTAACAAAGGAATAAAAGTGAGCCATGCAAAATGTGATGAATTGGAAGTAGGTTTCCATGTGGATGTGAAAAATGAAGGGACAATGGATGGAGCCCACACACTTCTAATATTCTCAAAACCACCTAATGGAGTTAAACAATTGGTGAACTTTCATAAGACTTACGTTCCGGCTGGATCAAAGACACGTGTTAAGGTTGGTGTTCATGTTTGTAACCACCTCTCAGTTGTCGATGAGTTTGGGGTTCGAAGAATCCCAATTGGTAAACATGAACTTCACATTGGTGATCTCAAACATTCTATTTTGGTTCAAACTTAAACCAAATTAAACATTAAGTGTCAGACAAATTTGACACAGATACAAACAAGTTTTACAAATATTTTTATTAATGATTAATGATTCCTTAAGTGGAATTTTGAATATGTGCAAAAGTAAAATAAGGAATAGAATTGGGGTTATATTTGTAAGTTGATTTACAGTGCAAACAACAATGTGTGCCATTCTTGCTCCAAATGTAAAATAGGGAAATTTACGTGACAATGTAAAATAGTCACATAGTCACAGCGGCAAGTGTACTATTGGCACTTTATATATTGTAGAGAAAGGATTTTGAACAAAGTTGGAACTTCTTGTATTATTCGTTGCATTGCTATCTCAGAATTAAGAGTAATGTTATTTCAAGACCATATAAAAGTGTATCACTTATATATACATTTGTTCAAAAACAAATTTTATTAACCAAATTTCGATTTTGCAAACTTAATAAAAAATTTGATAATCATACCTGAAACATTTCCGAGCCTTTATTATTATTGCAACTTCCAAGCGTGCACTCTTATGCTGAAATTCTGGAGGAAAATAAAATCAAAATCAAAGCTCGTTAGAAAGCAAAATTAGAAAAAACAAAGCAACAGAAAGTAACTATCCTCTCATATTTCAAGCCAAATAAAAATGAAATAGAATACTAGGGTAATATAATATCAATATGCATATGCAAAAAACAGTGCACGGTTTCAAATTCAAATGAACAGAATGATATATAAGAAGAATGGGAATGGAGAGCACTGGAGAAGTAATATTAAAAGTCCAAGGAAGCCACATTGTTAGATCAACAGGTAGAAAAGATAGACACAGTAAGGTATATATAGACTACAAGGAATCCCAAGTAAAACATAATTCCAGATTATCTCATTTAACTTCTCAATCAGCAAACCCAAGATTTAGTAATTTAACTTACTCAGCCAATTACATTTCTTCTGGTCAAGCAGCACGTTTAACAACGGATTTACAAGAAACTAGACACCGACGTAAGTAAATTAACCAAGTTAATATCACAGTCAAGTAAAGGCCTAGAAGTAAATAGTCCATGCTAGTATAGATGCAGTCACAGGATGAGTAAACAATCATTCTCCATACAGGTATCTTACAAAGTATCTTCATCATTCCCATCCTCTACATCATTATCATCATCTTCCTCATTGTCAACATAATTTTGGTTATAATCACCGTCATTAAAAATGTCTTTGTACCCGTTATCCTCTTCACTTTCATTGTTTTCTTTTTCCTTTTTATCTTTATCCTCTGGCGCCAGAAAGTTTTTCTACGGTTCTTCAAAAAAAAAAAACAGTTTTCTTGCATCGGCTTCTGGGTTACATAAAAAAAATTTCGGCTCAGCGTCTGCTTAGATCAACCTGGAACCAACTCCTTAACAAATCCATCAAAAATCAAAAAATAAAAGCTGTGACAGAGAATCATGAGCAAACGTTGTCTTCTCCACAAGATAAATAAGTATCAAAACATAATAACATAATAAACATTTGACAATTTCAAAAAATAGAAACTAAAATCATACAATACAATCAATGAACTGATAATCCCAATTTTCAAGCACCTAAACAATTTGAAGGACTGATAGAGGCATAGGTTAACGGTAACCACAGCAACAAGGGGCAAAAAACTTGTGTAAACATAAAAAGTTCTCAAATATAAACTTTCGCGCTATCATTGATGGCGTCGTTTCAAATCAAATGAAACCCTAATAAATAAACAAAACGGGTAAAAATAAAGGATATATTGAATTAAAAAAAGAAAAGTGAGGAATTGACCGTACTAACCAGTGATTCTGATCAGAGAGCGGGAAACTAGAGTATAGAGGTTGGTCGCGAATGAAGGAGAGTAGTTGTTGGAGGTTGACGGCGGTACGACGGCGGGAAGCTTGTGTGAGGAAGGAGGGGGTGTGTGTGATGTGAGCAGTGATTCAAGGAAATTGTGAGATGTAAATGGAGCAAATAGGGGATGTGAAGATTTTGGGAAGTAGTGAAGTGTTCTTGGGGTAGTTTTCTTCACAAGTGTTTCTACATGTTGATGGCTAGGGTCAGTTTTTTTCTTGTTTTTTTCTAATAATTTTTATAAGGTTACATAGTTTTGTTTAAAATAAACTTATAAGATAAATTTCAAATGAAATTTTATTTTGAACTGTTATTTTTAAAATGTTATTTTAGATATTTTATTCTAATTTTTTTAAAATATTAAAATTTTAAAAAATTATTTAATTTTAAAATCATTTGAATAGTTTTTTATAAAAATAAGTTTTAAATATATTTATTTTTTTAAATTACAATTATAATTATATTTTGATCTTCAATACTATATGTTTATGTTTTTTGGTTTGCATACATATAAGCTTTGAGATATTGCTGTGAATTATTCTTGGTGTTAGTTATATAATATTGTTTTAACAAATAAAATTTAGGCTTAAATGCAGTTTTGACCCCCCTAGTTTAAGGTTTTTGGAGTTTCGATCCCCCTAGTTTAAAAGTCAGGTTTCTAGTCCCCAAAGTTTTCAAATTTGGGATTTTTGAAGTCCCCTCCATCTGGCTGCCCAAAAAGTGACATGGCAATGCCACGTATTTTTTTATTTTTTATTTTTATTTTTTTTTTTTATTTTTTTTTTTTTTAAATTTTTTTTTCTTCTCCTCATGGTCAAAATTAAGGTTCGAAAGGAAAAAAAAAATTTTTAAAAAAAAAAAAAAAAAAAAAAAAAAACGTGGCATTGCCATGTCACTTTTTGGGCAGCCAGATGGAGGGGGCTTCAAAAATCCCAAATTTGAAAACTTTGGGGACTAGAAACCTGGCTTTTAAACTAGGGGATCGAAACTCCAAAAATCTTAAACTAGGGGGGTCAAAACTGCATTTAAGCCTAAAATTTATTTCAAAATGAATGTTATTATCAATTTTTAATTTAAAAATTATTGTTATTTTTCAATTGTGTCATTTAATTATTATACTTTATACTACTTCCAACACATTTATAAAGTTAATTTAGTAAAAGTGTAGTGTCTTATGAGAATATTATTATATTTCTTAATTTGTGTGCAAAACCTTAAATGACATTCATTTTGAAACAGGTAGAATGTTGTGTAAAAGAATGTTATTGTTATGTGCTTTATATCTATTCTCGAATTTTTTATATTATATTAATATCAAAGGTTATTCTCACCCTTTTTTGTTGTTGTTTGTGTTTGTTTGGTACTTATTGTACAGATAGTCAAGAGGAGTGATCTATCTGATGTGAGTTGGGGAAAGAGCCTTGAAATTTTTCTTTGTTACTTTTGTTATCGTTATTTTAGTTGGTCTAAAAATGCTCTGATCAACAATATTTCCTATCAACAGATTCATTAATTGTACAAGACAGTCACGCAGAAACCTTCCTAAAACGACTACAACAACAATTTACTAATTTTCTATCAATCGCTCGGAAGATACAGCAACCTAATGACCACATCAATAGACAATAATCTACACTAACATATTCATCGATTATACCGGGAAATTGTACAGACAACTCAAAATGCCCCCAACACGACTAACGACCAACTTCAATAACAGGTTCATTAATCATACAACACAGTCATACGGTAACTCCTTAAACGACCAAAGCATAGAAAACGAGCAACTTCGATAACAAATCCAGAAATATTAACGCACAACAGTCATACAAACAACCAATTCTCACATAATACACATCATAAATCCCATTATAAGGTCAGAACCCCACCCTTACCTGGATTGAAGGTCGCTCTACCAAACTTCCAGCCGACAACCTTGCTTTGCTCTGCTCGACAATCGTGCAACTTGCTCCTCTCTCCCGCGCAGCTTCACACGGTCACGCACAAGACTTCTTATTTTACCAAATAACCAAATCATTATGTCAGCTTAACCTTATACCATCAATTATATTGGGTCTAACCTACACCCCCCCCCCCCCCCCCCTTTTACTACTTCTAACCAATAACATAAGCCCAACACAATTATTCCATTAATTCCAACATTATTATTATTATTAATCAACTATTAATTAATTAATAATAATCTAACAACTTATACCAATAATTCCCAACATCTCACAACTTCAACAAATAATCCAAAAATAATTTAATTAAATAATTAATTAAATTAATGGGCGTTACAATTCTCCCCCACTTAGAATATTTTCGTCCTCGAAAATTTATTTTATTCGAACAAATCAGGATAAGAGTCTTGCATCTTGCTTTCCAACTCCCACGTCATGTTTTCTCTGGCAGCTCCTAGCCAAACTACTTTCACCAAAGCAATCTTCTTGCCTCTTAGAGTCTTCATTTCACGATATGCGATTCGTACAGGTATCGTCTCCATGGTGAGATTATCCCGTACTTGCACATTGTTGTACCCCAAAATTTGCCCTCCCATATTTCTCAAAATATTTCAAGAAAAATTCACAAGTCCAACCCGGCGCGTCATATTCAGGTATTCTTTCGCCAAGATATCTCTGATAACGTATTCTCAAATTCAGGTTCGGCTCAAGAGTCAATTCTTTAAAGAAGGTATCCGAATGTGTGAGTTTTCTCGAAGAAATATGGTGAAAAAGTGTGCTGAAAGTGCAGTTTTTACGCGCTAAAAAATTCATAACTTGAAGATCGTGGCTCGTTTTGAACTCGTTCCGGTGGCCTAAATTCCGTCTTGACATTATCTACGTTTTCATCTCTCACGGCTGGAAGCCAATTTCGATCAGAAGATCTTCAAAAATGTGGATTTATCAAGTATTTTCATACAGAAAATTTGTGACAAGTTTATTTGCGTCATGTTCAGAAAATCATAACTTGGTTGATTTTCATCGTATCGAGCTGGTTCCGGCGCCAAAATTTCACAAATTGAGTTGGCTACATTTTCACATAAGGTATTGAGTTCAAACGGTATTCAAAAGGCCTTCGTTTTTTGCTCAGAGTGTGTGACACGCTGAAAATCCTGAATGCTGAATATTATTTCATCTGGGCCGAAACTTCGAAAATTCATAACTCGGTCAATTTTTATCGGATTGGGCTCATATTTTTACACAAGGTCACTGACTCATAGATCTACAACTTTGCTTCAAAAGTCGAGACCAAATTATGCACCGATCAATACCAGTTTTTTATTGAAGAACGTGTCAGAGTCGACACTGGAGCCCAAAATAAGTTTATCTGAGCTGAAACTTCAAAAATTCATAACTAATTTACCGTTTATCCGATTGAGCCGATTTTCGGACAGGAGTTAGTTCTTGATGTCGGCTACATTTTGTTTTCACATTTCAACTTCAAAAATTGTACTTAAGTCCCTGCGATTTAGCCTGGAAAGTGACGAACTCAAGTGAACATTGGAGGTCCAATTGCACATTCAAAGCCCATTTTCTTTACCCTAATTTCCATTATATAATCGCCTTCTTTTCACACAAACCAGGAAAGAGGAGGAAAAAAGAGAGAAAAAAACCTTGCCACAACACTGTTAGAATATCAAATTCTTTCAAGAACCCTAAAACCTTGAAATCCTTATTACAAATCTCTCTCTCACTACAAACAAGTCATCACAGTTACAAACCAACACCTCACTACTTTTTCAGTAAGGATAAGGCTGGCTTGATCTCCATGATCCAAAGGGCATAAAAGCATTCAAGTCACTAATTTTCCAATAAGGGTAAGATTGATTTGATCTCCATGATCAAAAGGGTATAATCATTCATACATGTCATATTGTGCCTAAACATTAAATTTCTTCATATATTGGCTTTATTTGCATTTTATGATTTTATTTAATGTGTTCATGAGATTCAACACTGCAGATTTAGACAATATCTCATGCAGGTTCATTAAGGAACGTTGAGGCCAAAATACAAATGGCCAAAAGCCAAATGGCCAAAAGAACAACTTATGCATGACACCAATACATGGCGAGACATACATCCTGAGAAGATTAAGGAACGTTGAGGCCAGAACACAAATGGCCAACAGCCAGAACACAAAT